CGTCCTGTTCACCCGTCTCCTCGACAGCGGGATCTTCGTGCCTTGGGTCAGGAGGCGAGTCGAGCCGCGATTCGGGCTGGCTGGAGTGCGGGCGAGATCGAGTATTGGGGGGCCTCGGCGTCTCATTCCGTATCATCCTCGTCGGAGGATTCTTCAACGGGTCAGAGGCTCTCCTGCTTTGGCATGGACCGCAAATGGTCGTTGACTTGGATCTCGATATTGGCACCGTAGTCGTAAGCGTGAAATGCCGGCTGGTTCTCGTACCAAAATGGGTCTTCAGTGTGGTCGTGAACGTACTCCCCCCAGTTCTCCATAAACACTTCCTGAAAGGTGGTCCACTTATTGAATGTGATCGTCTGCACCTGCGGCCCATCTAGGGCCCATGATGCTTCCACTCCTTCACCTAACAGTTCGTTAAGAAGGAAGAGCTGCTTGATGTAGGCGGCGATGAATTGAGCATGCTCGTATCGTAAGGCACTCGACCTCGACGCCTCTTCCACTTCTTGTCGCTGCGCTCGACGTGAAGGAGGAAGCTCATGTATCCTGGTCCCGGCGGGGTGGAAGACGATGAACCAAGATTCGCGTGTGGCGGCGGTGGCAAGACCAAAGGTCCGACGTTGAAGGTCAAATGCAAAACCATGAATGTGCTTACAGCTGTGGGAGGAGCGCCAATTGCGGAAGCTGAGGGTGCCGTTGTCGAAAAACCGATCGCTCGCGTGGGTGATGGGCTTCATCGGTCGGCCAACCAGAAGTAGGATGATATTCGTCGGTTGATCAAGTCGGTCGACTGCCAGTTTTAGTCCTGGATGCGGCTGCCCGAAGGTGGATTCGTAACACGTTCCTTGAGTTCGTTCAGAATTCCTTCGGAGTTATGAAGAGAGCCTTCTGTCAAAACCGTCACTGGCCCAGATTCCAAGTCAAGCTGCACATCGACGTCTTCTCCGAGCAGTTGTGCCAAGTCGAATAATCGCTTCTCCTTCGTATTTTCAGATTGTCTTAGGTTTCGATATGCTACTAGCCTATCCACTTCGAAAGGCATTTTGTCACTAAGAAGCCGTAATGCGTCCGCTTCATGCTGCGAAAAGTACTCGTCCCATGTAGAGAGCAGAAAATGTGGTGGGGGAAATTTGTCATTCGGGGACAGTGTAGGTAATTCATTCTCTGCGCGCTGGCAAATGGCGGAACAGGTCGCCAAAAGATTCTTATCCAGCGACGAGTCGGTTATCGGATGTTCCTTGAGCTCAATGCGTTGATCCGAGATCATCTCTCTGCAATTTTCCAGCACTAACCGGCTGGTCGAGACTCTAGCTGAGCGACTTGTAGGGTGAATTAGTCTAAATATATTGCCAATATTAGATGTTAACTTACTAGAGGTTAGACAATATATATGAAACAACCGTTGCCCGAAGAAGCCTTGAGGAATTCGTAAGCTTTCGAATTGCCGTGGTTTTAGCATCTTGGGCTTTAATGGCGGCCGTGGTGTTGTTGATGAGATCCCTCCACCGAGCTATAATGGGAATGAGGATTTCGACGTCGGTAATCCAGGAGATGTTGTCGGCTAAAAAATTTAATGTCACGGCATCCGCCTGGAGGTCTATACGCCGTTGATGGTCCTTAACAACTATATCTAAAAGGCGTGCCATAAAAATGTCCGCCTCTATTAGAATCCGAACGAATTTGTACCGAAGTGGGATGTTGAGTTTATCTTCAAGCTCTTTTTGTCGCTGCTTCTCATGTTGTAAAGCATCTTCTATTGATGCTTGAAACCGTGCTGCCGCGTCTTCAGTGAATGCAAAACGTCCAGGATTGCTATAACGATTTTAGTAGACATTTATTGACCCTTTCTTACACTTACGCCTCAACAATGGCTGCGCAAAAAGCAGTCGACAGCGGTTCCAAAGCGGAGCTGATCTCGTCAATGTCTCGACCTTGACTCTTGAACGCCTCCCAATCTGGAGCCCGGGATTGCGTGATATCATCTCGAAGTGCGTCACAAAACTCGTGCATTCTATCAAGGATCTCGATTGCCGAGACCGCAAGCTGAAGGTCGGTGGCGCGTCGACATTGTTTGAGAAATACGCCAAAAGCCTGGATTGGAGTCATTACCGAACAGAAGTCATGAGGTATACGCGCAATTTTGTAGACCAATTCGTCGAGGAGGCGCGAAGTTGCAAGCAACCGCTCCTGGTGGTCTGAACTGCCCGCCATCTTGAGGAGGGTCGATTGGGAAAGTGTTAATAACCACGCAATGTGTTTCGCCTTTGAGGGGCTCATCGGCAGGTCGAAATTCAAGCGAACTCTCGCTTGACCTGCCTAGTAGGGACTCCACCACCGCTCTTTCCATGTTCCACTGTGAATCCGCCCATCGCCCTTCTCAGACAACTCCGTGCGCATGTAAACCTTTTTGCTTCTAGGAAAGTACGTTGGCGTATGGGGAAGGTTGTACACGTTTTCATGGCGATGCCCGCGGGAATCTCTACGCCGCTACATATGGACTCACAGGAGCGTCCCTAGGGTGAACGAGGACCTGACCATACTACTCGCAGTAGTCCATCTCTAACAAAGCGGCCCGATACACCTAGGGAGTCTGAATGTCGGCAGCGGAAACGTCGGAAGAGAGTCGCCAAACAAGTAACGGTAGACGCCGGCCGCAAACACGAAGGCGACGATCCACCGCCATCTTCACCTAGCTTCTCATCCGCAGTCGAACACGACGCACTCACCACGTAGGTGGCAGAGCAGACAGCGGAAGAATACGAGCTCGAGGCGCTCGAGGCTCAAGCCGATGTCAATCGGGAGGTTCTAGAAGAGGAGGATTGAGCATACTGGCAGCAAGAGATGAATGTGGAGGAAGCACAAGGGCGAGAGCGCCAGAGACGCGAATATTTTTGAACTCACGCGTTGATGAATAGACGGCATCCTCCACCGGCCTTCGTGTGATTATCCCCCGCCTTTCATGGCCACATTGAAAGGCAACCACTGTCCATGTCTGGCCAACGAACTCGACGTCTCCGACCTTCTTCCCGGCTCTGTCCCCTCCACTCTGACGCCTGACCCTTCCGACCCTACAGATTCTTGTAGCAGCTCCTCAACCGGTGCAACCTGCTACGCCCGCTGAACGAACCGATAAGATCTCATCGCCACGCCCCATTGGCAAATGATTTGACGAAATACAACTACCTTGGTGCGAACCAAGCACTGTCTCGCCCGTTGCCACCAGGTTCATTCCGATCCGGAGTTTCATTCGTTCTGACTTTCTCAATCAATGACCACCGGTGACACTAGACCGAATTCGTCGAGACATTGTGACGCTCTTGGCAAACTGCGGCAAACCTCTCAACCTCGCGAGCCCCGTGTAACCAACGTTCCTATATACCTCAAGAAATCGATACCATGTCGACAGCCCCGGCGCCCACCTCTATCTACCAGGACTGGTATCAAACCTCAGGCTTTCACCAGGATACGGCGGTCCATAACGCTATCAACGAGGGACGGCAGCGCTTCCCCTACACCGACCCAAAAACACCCAGTATCAATACGCGGATATCTGGCTGGGTGGTTTCGGCCTTCACAATACCCAATGAGATGATCGAGAGGCGGCCTACCGATAGTCGACGGAGACTGAACCAGTCCACCACATCCGTGCGAACCTAACCCCAATTTGAAACCTAGGCGCGTCCCTGAGATATCGAGAAGCGGAAACAAGCTATCTCCGTATGGAGCTCTTGGTGTTCTTCGTCTTTCACTAACATGGATATGGGGCCGATCGCGCACTGGAGGCTATGGGATTACATATGCCGTCACGGTTGAAGGACATTGTTGATAGGATCCACATCTACGCAGAGACAGGTCAACCTTTCGGGAAGGCATTCGCGGGGACGGTAACGGAATTCTTTACACTCGTGATTGTGGACGCCAGCGCGACGCCCAGGACGAACCCTCTTCTCTGGTGGCTGGCCGTATTCATTCAAACGGAGGTTCTGGACGATCGACCCCGATGGACATTGGACGGAGTTCAAGACAATTTTGGTCTTTCCTAGTAAACCGGAGGCTATCGACAATTATGCTCGAGTGTTGACCTTGGATGACGCCTATCGTCATTGGATGAATGACCAGCCGCCTCAAGGAGCCGGCCAATCTTATAGGACTAAGGTCACCGAACGGTTAGATGCCGTCTCTCTTGATTGGGTGGATCAGGATCAGGAATGACCCCCCCCCC